TTGCAAATTTGGCAGGATTTTTCTCTTTTTTACCAAAGTCAAATCTCTCTTAAAAAAAACCCAAACCAAACAAAAATACCAAACAAAAACCCCAAACCAAACAAAAATCAAACCACAACCTTATTTTTGAACCTTAAATTTTGAGTTTTAATTCCTTTGTATTGGAGGCCTTTAGTCTCTGTTTCCTTTGCAATAGTTGTTGCCATAAGTTTTCTCCATTTCAGCTGTTTCTGTTACAGTTCCACAGAGGTGCTGCTGAAGCCTGGCTCAAGCATTGCTAAAAAAATAGTTGTTAGAGCATCTGAGGTGAGAAAAGCCAAGGCATCCAACACACCTCCCACTGCTTCTATTCCTGTACTCACTTGTAGAACACTTGTAAAAATGTAAAAAATTTTTAAATGTCTGATTGAAATTCCTGGAAACACAACTGTGTGGAGAACACTGAGGTGATATATGTATTTGATGGATGACTGATTTTAGTATGAAGGAAAACATTTCCTAACGTTCTGTAAGTAAAGCTTTCATATGATGCATTGAAAGCAGGAGAGATCTGTTCTGGCACGACTCTTAAAAAGAGATATGTTAACTATAAATTTTGTACATGTAATTAAAATAGATGTAGAGCATGGAATAAATTTAATTATTTTTCAAAGCTGCAACTACTGCAGCTACATAGACAGATGTCTCTTCCCTGCTGTGTTTGCACAGAAGCGAGGATTTGAGGTTAATATACATGTTTTGTGGTGTTTGAATTCTTTGCTTATTCATTCCTAAGGCCTCCTCCAGCACAGCAGACGACAGCTTTGCCTTACAGAGCAGTTAGAGGGGAGTTAGGGACACCTACTGCCCTTTGAAAACTCAGAGAGGTATGAGAACACAAACAAATGATGCGTTCATGTTTTAGAAAAGAAAAAATAAAATCTGCACGTATCATTCTTCCAGTGAAATACTCTGTAGTTCCAGGGGCTCAGTTGCTGTTGAAGCTGAAAAAAGGGGCTGTGCCTTATATGAAATTATTTAGGAGTTCCAAATCCTAACTTTGCCAGTTCATGTTAACGGCAAATCAGTCTAGAGGGCTATTGTATACAGAAAATATTTGAATCATAAGCTGTTAATCTATTTTTCTTCTGTACAGATCTCAAAACAATGAGTGAGCGGCTCAAGAATAGGTACTACGTGTCTAAGAAATTATTCATGGCAGACTTGCAGCGAGTCTTTACAAATTGCAGAGAGTACAACCCCCCTGAGAGTGAATACTACAAATGTGCCAATATACTGGAGAAATTCTTCTACACAAAAATTAAAGAAGCTGGATTAATTGACAAGTGACACTGTCGTTTTTACAACCAAATAGTGTGCCTCCTTTATGAGCAAGGGAAGCCATTATATATCTGAGTGGTGGGACTTTAAGGTTTCAAGAAACTTCTGTTTAATACTTAGCACTTTTAAAAACCCTTTTAGTTTTGCAGATGTGTATTATATTGAAGTTACAAAAAATATTTTATTAAAATGCTTTATAATGTATTTAATTACAGAGAATTTCTTTTGTGTGCCCATTACCGTATGTTCATAACAAGTTTATCAGCTACAGCCTCAGAAACCCCACAAAACATGTGGGAAATTGCACATGTTTGGGAAGATGAAGAAAATTCCCAGACAACAGATGTTATAGCTTACCTAATGCAGTACCTATTTGATAGTTTTACTATTTTTTTTCCAGTAAAAAAGAAAATAGTAAGGGAAAACAACAGGTGGGGTGTGTGTTCTGAAACACTTGTTTCTTTGTAGAATCTTTTTATAAGATGTTATTTTTTAAAAGAAACACTCAGCTGGTTGAGAACCTATGAGAGAAGAGCAGCCACTTCTGAAAAAGGACTGCTTGTAATCTTTGATAGATGCAAGTTTTTCTATTAATTTTGGGTTTTGATAAATATTTTACCTGCAAATTTTAATCTCGTAACCACTATTTAAAAAAAATAATCTGGCTAGATGTGTTATGTCACGGTGACTTGGCTTATGCGGGACATAAGTACCCAAAATAACTTTAGAGAATCTGATTCTCGTGTGCTGGACAATTTCAGTTGGCTTAGTGGAGTTAAGGTTTTGATACGCTTCATGACTGACTACTCGTTACTGATAAACTCTAGATGATTCAGCAGAGATAAGACTATTGTATGCAAGAGAAGTCAGCGTATGACAGCTTCTAGCTTATATACTTGGCTCTGTGGTAAACTGGATTTTCTACCAAGCTTTATTGTAAATGCTTATTAACTGTGATGATTTAGATCCAGGAACACCTTAACATTTTACAACTCATGTTACTATATCTTCAAATTGAGCACCTATATATATAATATATATATTTTGCTGCTTACACTACATATAAGAGGTACACCTAACTTCCTAATGGAGATCAGTATAGGCCAAAAAGTTGTCACTTGACCTTTTCTAATTAGAGTTTGTAACTGTAAATTATAAGTGCTTTTGTGAAAAAGAGTTATAATTTTCATTCTTGGTGTTTTATATTTACAGATGTTACACTGGTAAAATTCAATAGCTATTATAAGACTGAAAAAACCCCAATCCTGTGCTGTGTCAAAAGATATATTCCTGCAAAATGCCTGTGCAATGTTAAATCACAAGTCAATTCAGCAAGTAGATGTCGGGAACTACCCTGAAGTACTAAATGTGATACACAAGGTATCCAAAATGCTAACACTAGACTTGCCGTAGTGTTTTGTATGAGATTAGTCTGACCTACATATGAATCTATAAACAAAGGTACAGTGAGTATATTTTTTTTCCTAATAGCCAGTATTGGATGCTATAATCCTGTTTTGTAGATCGGGCCTACAGATGCACCTGTTACGCTTGGTATCCTGTGAATTTTGTTATTTTCAGAGTAGATTTTCTTATTGTCTTTCAATCAGATTGTCTCTTCTATATTGAAACATTTGTTTTCTAATTTAAGAATTAATATTTTCATAGATACTGTGCAATAAAGTTATGGTAGGATATGTGGTTTTGCAAATGCTTTAACAGCTGATGAACTTTACATTTGTAAAATTAATATATTGTACTGGTACAGAATAGTTTTAAATTATATATGTACAAAACCTTATTTATTTTGGTGTCTTTTTTCATTAGCTGGTTCTTGCAGTACAAATACACACACCGAAGCAACTTCACAACTGAGCGTGGTGAGTGCAGTTAGCGCATCTTCTAGGTACACTGAAATAATAGGCAGAAAACAAAAGCCAGAGTTTGTTGTGGGCAGGTTGGCCTAAGCTGAGCTACAGCACTGTTACTTCTGTCTCCTCAACATCTCAAACACTTCTTTGACTGTCCAAAAGTTTAGATTTTTCACTTCAAACATGCTTATGCTGTTTTATAATTTTTATTTACTAGGGACTTTTCTTCACCAGACACAATATACATAGGAGCAAACTAGTGCCCATGTTGAACTTGTACTTACCTGCTCTCACCATGACATTACTCAGATGGCACACTTATTTTGCACACCATGAACAGACCCTGTCTGATACCTGACACTTAGAGTGTATGAAGAGATTTATTGTTTTTTTCCCCATCCACTAAGATTTAGTCCTGTGCCACATCATGTAAAACCACCACACCTGCTCTATCACCTCATTTTTTTCTGTCTCTGATAAACAGCTGTTAAAGACTTTTTTGCTGAAGGAGCACCTTAAGTTAAATCATACTGCCTAAATTTGTTGTAGCACTAAAGAGTTTCAGAATAAAGATGGTAACTCCCAGAGCTAGAATTTTAGGATACGAATGGAAGGTTAAGTTCCAGTTCTAACATCCAAAGGCTGTGTTGTGAACAAATATTTCCACTCAGCTGCATCTTTTATTATTACTGTTGAATCATGTAAGTTACCAGTAAAATAATATTTAACACTATACATTTTTATTAGAGAGAGGGAGAGATCTTACACCTATTGAAGTGAGACAGACAAGAAAAGCAATCTTGCAAGACAGGTGAAGAATCTCTATGTTTGTACTTCTCCATGGTTTAGTTTGGATGTAGCTTTTCTCTTTGGACAGATGTATCCATTACCTTTTAAATGTTTCTCAAGAAAAGAAAAGCTCCTTTGAGTAGTCTGAAACCTCAAAACCCTACTGGTCAGTCTATAGGACTGGTGCTCCAAGCATAGTGGCTGTCGTGGTACTGAAGGGAAGGGCCAACAGTCTGATGAAGTCCCATAAGAGCAGTTTACCCTCCACCAAAGCAGAGCACTCTCCACCAGCCTTCACGGGTAAATGGGCTTTGTTCCCATCTGGTTGATTGTAACTTGGATTCCTAGCAGTACCAGCCAACTCTAAATTGGTACTTTTGAGAGCTCCAGCTACTTAATCGTTACAAACTGGCAATCCAGCTTCCAAACAAGGTTTGTACCACAGAATCTGGGGAAGGAGGACAGGGGCTTGCTGACGTTGCCACTCTTGAAGCAAAATAGGAAACCTGACAAGAACACCGCCAGCCAACACCGAGCTGTTTCCAGACGCTAACATTTTTATTATGAGCTTCAATATGAAACTATAACCATTACATAAACAAGATCTGTACATTGTTATTAAAAAATAAACAACAAAAAACCTAGTACAAGAAAAATTGATCTTAAATGGTTAAAGTTTACCTTTGCAAACCAATATGAGATCAAGCAGGGTATAAGTCATAAAGTGACTTTCACCACCTTTTCCACCAGAGTTTTCCCCGATATATTCACAGATGCATAATCAAGGGATGCCTCCTCTAAAAACAGAGTTTGAATGGAATCACCCTAGGTACAAAACTAGTCCTGTGTTGTCTATATCATTAAAAAAAAGTCACTGCAATAAAACCAAACCCCCTTGATTTTATATCCTTAATATTAGACACGTAGAAATAACTGCCTATTCATGTAAGATATTGTGCAACAATAATTTCCTGGATGAAGAACGGAGCGAGCATGGTTTTGCTATTTCAACTGGAAAGCTCAACGACAACCAACAAATTTCTCGTTGTATTTTGACAAAGACTTTTTCCTATGAGGATGGCATTTAGAATCTTTTTTCTGCTTGAAAATTGGAGAAGATAAAAAATTTGTATCCGTAAATGGATCTCCTCTCCTGAGTTTCCTGTTTGAAAAAAAAAAAAAGGCAAAATTCAGTTTTGTTCCCCGCATCGCTTATATTATCCTTCAGCTACTAAGTTCAATTTCACATGAACTCTTTTGTATTACTAACATCAGACCTTTATTCAAATGTTTTGCTAGGAACTTAGTTCTAATATTTAAATAATTCCTTCAAAACCTCTATTTAGTAGAATATCATGAAATTTATATCAACCTGGAAAGTAAGACACCTACCCTATGATACTTGGTTCTTTATAGTTCACACTAAGAGTACAGCTTCGCTTGCGTTTTGGAGATCGTGGTCCTTCACCTGCTAGAACAACAGCTGCATTCTCAGTGCTGGGGAGCAACGAAGTGGTGTTGGTAACGTCACAAAGATGACCACGAGATGGCTCAGAAGGTTGCACTGGGAAAAAATTAGGCACACTTAACACAAGTCAGGCAAGCTAGTTTGAAAGAGAATGTCCATTAACATACTAGATATGAAGTAATTCTCAGCTATAACTGTTCATCTTTCTACCTGATACATAAGAGCATCAACAAATATTCAGGATTTTAATCTAGAAAAATAAATAAACACTAAGCAGTGCCAAGCAAAGTGTGATTTGTTATTCTACTTCTTTCTCAATTTATACTTTTTCCTCAGCTTTAATACATCTTTAAACATATCTGAAATATACTGTATTAATTCATTGTTTCATTTCTTAAAACATACCTTTAATTCCAATTTCTGCTAAAGAAAACAAAGTGGCAGAAGAATGAATATAATGATTTTTATAACATTCTGTTTGTGTATATTAAAAAAACCACACTAAAATAAATTTTTTTAAAAAAAAAAGCCTAAATCCTATAACCAATGTTATCTCTCAAGGAAACAAAACTAATTACAGAACACTTTCTACACTTACTAATAGACTTGTCACTTGATTTATTGCTTTCGGTCTTTTTTTCATCATGCAGTTTCAGCTCACGTGCCAAACATCTTTTAGATCTTGGCCTTGTGTAGACTGGTGATGTATCTTTCTTGTCCACTGAACTTTTCCTTTTTTTCGATTTACCCTTGTAAGGCTCATAAAGGCTATCATCTGAATCTTCTTCAGTGTCACTTGTCTCCATGGTACTAGTTTCAGTTGAGTCTTCTTTTTCATCCACATCAGTATCTGTGTCACCCCCCTTCTTTTGTCGAAAAGGGGTGACGTGGACAGACTCTTCAAAATGAAAGTCATAAGCATCATTGGAGCCACCCAAGAAATCCAACTTTTCTTTGGAAGCCTCTTTACCCTGGTTTTTTTTTATACTTTGTCTCAAGGTATTTTTAGGCCGTTCCAGTTTTCCCTTCTGATGCTTCTCTTTCCTTAATTGAGAGTCTCCTCTGCTTTTACGCTCCTGTTGTTTAAGATGACAATCACTGTTTAACTGTGCAGTTTCAGGATCTGTCTGTCTTAATACTGGCTCAGAGTCTACCTTGTTTTCCTTCAACTGAGAAGTACTTGAATTGATGTTTTCTATGGCATACTTCTCTAGGCTTTCCTCAAGTCCAATTTCATCCTGTTTAGAATGCTCTTGTGTTGAATCAGGTGCTTCTGAACAGTCCAAGACACCAGTGCAAAGTTCATTGCAATTTCTCATCTTTGAATAGCGACATCTGGTGGACACATTTTTTTGTAACATGTTACCAAACCCATCCTCTCCACCTGAAAAAACATTTTTCAGCTCTGACGCTATCATGCCATCCAGATCAAATTCTGATGTTCCTCCTGGTAAGTGAAGAGAAAAAGTCCTATTAAAGCTAAATAACAGCAACGTGTTAAGGTTTTGTGCAAATTCTGAACCTCTCAAAAATTGAGGCTACTTGTAGAAGCCTGGAAGTTGTATTGAACAGAGCTTGCCTTGATTGTCAAATACAGCTTCCAGACAGAAAGCAGTTAAGAATAGTACATCAGGATTTTCCTCTAAACCATTGTTTGGAATAGTGACCTACAGGTCATTTATTTTTTCGAATGTTTTGCTTTGTTAACAATTGGTCTTTCAATGAATTATAATGCATAACTAAAGAAGACATTGCTCTGTTGAAATGTTTGGTAGATAATGAAATTAGATATATAGGTGTATAGAAGAAAAAGCATTTTCAAATTCCTCCCCCATTTTGCTAGGCATCTTCATTGTAAAAGTTTACCAGTTGCCAATGTTAATATGTAAGCTTTATGATAAGATTTGGAGCATTACTTGACAGGTGCTTCAAAAGCAGTAGTTACATTTTCAACTTAACTTACACCCCCACATTTTTTTCTGACTCAGAACAGAGCAATGTCTGATACTCTGATTCAATTACCTTTGTCTGGAACTGTATTGATTAAGGAAATGGAGTTATCAGATTCCTCACAGATCTCTGACGCAGAATGAGCCCGCTCATTTCTTTCACCATCAGTCTTCATCCCATTGGGAAATACTTGATCCTCTCCATCAACACATTGTAGAGGTCCTCTTGAGAAAACATCAATGGTATTATTTTACTGAACAGCCATATTTTTAATGACTGTAAACTATTTCATTGCATTGGATTTCTTCCCTTTTTCCAGTCACACGAATTAAGCTTACCATAACAGAACTTTCAAACAAAAATAGGTATTAATACAAGATACTTACACTGAACTTACTTGTCTTGCGACACTGGCACTATTTTCACAAAATGAAGAAAGCACTCCCTGATCCTGTCAACAGAGTAAATCTTACTGTGACTAAATAGTTGGAATAAGCTTACACCATATATCAATTTTAGACAACAGCCAAGTTACCCACACAAGGGCCAAGGAGGCCCTTACCTCTTTTCTTTCTGGCTGGCTAACACAAAGTGCTGTGCTGCTGCCAGTCAGCACATTCATCAGCAGCCCAATCCTACAGAGAGTGGGCAGGGATGAGGATGGTGCAGGGAACAAGACACAAACCCACAGCAAACCAGGGTGCCCTTACCTCTTAATTGCAGAGCCTCAACCCCACTAACAACCTACATGCACTAACTGCATCCCCCACCCAGTGTGTCATACTGGGAGCTGTGGGACTAGTTGTACCTCCAGACTAAGGCTCAAGTCTCAGAAACTATGTGCATCTATACTGGAAGGAGTAAAGTGAAGAATGAACAGAAACCCTCAAGAGAAAATGATACTTACTGCATCCATGGAACACAAATTCTTCGCTGGGCCAAGGAGATCAATTGAGTCCAGTAAATTCTGAGAAACTTTTGAAATTATCTCATTCAAGGCTGACAGTTGATGCTAATGTAACAAAGAAGGAAAATAGCACTGAAATGATCATACTCTGGTATCAACTACCAATGTAATAACTTCTCATCAGTATTATGAGGTGACTAAAGCCTGAAGATACCTGTGTGAGGTACTTTCAGTTGTGGTTAAAAAAACCCCATAAAATTCAAAGAAAATAGATTTTAATTAAAGAAGAAAGAGTAGCAAGGAAGAAAAAAAGAGTTAGTTAATGACAAGATTAAGTGAAAATATGAAAAAAACTTGTTCTATATATTATTTTTTACAAAACATTTAAGATCACAGCTATCAATGAATTGGTACAGAGTCTGATGTTCAGCTTTACTAAATCATTCAGTTATTATTAAGAAGTACCTCAACTAGTCCTCGTGCTTGGTTGAACCTAAGATTTCTATGTGAGTCAAACACCTGAAGCTTCAGATCTTGACACTCCTTTGTTAAATAAAGGATGGTAGCCTGGGCATCCCTCAGTTTGAGCTTTTCTTCTTGCAAAGCCTGGGCTAGAGCTCTGTTGTTTGCTTGGATGCTCTTCATTTGTTTCGAGCTGTTGGCTGCAACACAACAGTAAGCATTTCTACTTGGCAGAGAAAAAAAAATAAAATATGAAAACTATTAAGATATCTAAGCATCTTACTTGCTCTTTTGCATTTTACAGTGGAGGTCTGGCCAATTTTAACCAATCTCTGATTTCTTTTCTCTTTCATTCGTTCTTTTATATCTCTCAGACTGTCTTTGAAGGGCTTTTTCAAGGATTCCGCCATCTTCTACCTTTTGAAATATAAAGGGTGACGAGTTCATTAAGCTTGTCTTGCACAACTCTCCCCAAAACAGAAAGAAAAGGAACGGAGAAACGACAGTAGAGCTGTCGTTAAAACGGTGGTTTTAAGTTGCACGACAGTTTTCCAAGCCATTCT